GCTATCGTATATACAAACAGATAGCTATTAATATGATATGTATTCACCCAATTTCATTTAAGGTGATGAAAGGCTGGTAGAAGAAGAATTTTCCCACAATGATATGAGTTGAGCTGACGCTTTTATTGAATTTCACATATTATGCTTTCCCAAGAGTTGTTCTCATCCAGGGTGGACTGCAGTTTCGACCTCGCATCGGTCTTGTCAACACCCTCAGCGGGAGTCGAACCGCGGCAGTGCAGAATGGGAGTTTGACACACTACCTATTCGGCTACACTGCCACGAGCGTTTTTTAGGTCACAGGGCAAATGTGAATTTTAATGGAAAGCCAGGCCTTAACCCATATCACTCTATTTGGTGGGATCTTTGATGAAGCAAACGTATCTCTGCTATAACAATCGACTACTATACTTTATTTTCCGAATTAAGTATTGTTTTCGTGACTACCAGTAAATCAGTAATATGAGATGAGAAATTGGGTGAATACATCTCATACTATGGATTTACTTTTAGTCCCAAAAACAATACTGAATTCGAAAATTAGATAGCTATTAGTTGAATAATGTAAGAACGCCATTAAACAGACCAAGTTATTCTCAATCAAAAGTCCTGCTGAGCGTCATATTTATGGTATTTCTCCAAATAAGAAATACTTGAAATTATGCTTACTGAAGCATATGAAGTGAGATGAGATTAAATGTATCCTTGTTTATTGCATTCTCCTCAGCGAAATTGCCTCATGTAAAGCACAAGTAAGGTCTTTTAAATCACCGTTGTCTAAGCTTCGTTATCGACAGTTTATGCCGCTCACAAATGGCGGGCTACTCCGAAAACAACTAAAACTGAAAAAGGATTCTAAGTGTTTACGCTTCTGAGGCATGGAAGTGGCTGCTTTAGTGAGAAGTTTTAGGCGCCTTGTCCAGTCGTGAAAATGTCACCTTTTTCCGCTTCGTTGCACCTCACTCACCCGTCCCATGTACTCGGGCCCAGGCGGGTTTGGCCATTCTGTCGACAGGATTGCAGCAGATCGCTCTGTCAACCAGGTCCGCCGGTCCGGTCAGCACTTGAGTGCCCTCCGGGAGGAGGCTGCCCTTCTTCGAGAGACCGCTGCTGCATTTGCCACCGGCCGCAATGTCTGCGTCTCGCATGGTACCGGAGCCCGAAGAGGAGATCGACAGGCCTGGACTGTTTGGACAACTGGGTGTGCGATAGCGTGGAAGTGACTTGTAAAACCAGGCCCCAGAGCGCTTCCACACCTGTTCGGATGATACATTTTTCCAGAGAAAATATGTAACAAATTAAAAATTACATTTAAACACTCAACTGTCCTCACAAAATATCGAAGCGTTTCATAAAAACTGTATGTCTACTTTAGTTTTTTTTATAGTTTATACACAAATCGTATTTTGGTACAGAATACGCATAAACGACGACCATCAGGCAGACTGACTGTGCTTCAGTCACAGTTTCTCTCTCGAGCTACATCAGCCCCCTCAACGGAACTCAAAACCCGGCTGCGCGAGTAAAATGATGACATGCCACCACATCGCTGGACATTCATGAGAGCCAGTGGATCATGAGGCGAAGGTGGAAAGTCGTTAACGCTGAATGTAAACGCATGTTGGCTGAATCGACAACATGAGGGGAGGAGGCCTGGCCATCCTTGAAGATCTCATCTGCCTCGCGACCCACTAGCCGCCGTGGCCGGATACTGGGTTGGTAACCGTCGCTAAGCCTTAATCCCGAGGCGAGATGAAAACTACGCTCCGCCATGCACTTTGGAAGCTAGACTAAGTGAATTTGGATAGAATAGTGAGGCCTACTAGCATAATTGAGAGAACTTCAAATTATCCACTTTCAGACCAAATTAAGCGACTTTGCTGACTATGTCCTTATTTAATAATTAATAATAGACTGAAACTACTTATCTGAATCCTATAAGTAGGCTTTTGTGAGCCTAATATCAAACAAGTTATATGGAAAATAAGTGACGACTTAGGCAGACTACGTGCTTAATTTATAATTAAATGTACCGAAAAATACTTAAATCTAATAGGGTGAGTATGCAAATCCAGCTATCAAAACTTAGATCGCATTAATCGAACTAAGATTACTCAATTCGTAGTCAAGACGTAATGAATGTCAAAAACTATATATATATATATGTGTGTGTGTGTGTATGTATATATGTATATAGAAAATATAGATAGAAACAGTAAGTTGTTTGTACTTTAATCACCTAAAGCGAACTAGGCTTATTAGGTTATAGTTTTAGAATGATAGTTTGAGAACTACTTGTATCAAATTCAGTTACCATTAGAATGCGATGAGTTGGGTATAAAAGTCAACCGTTCGTAGTTTAATCTTC